GGAGAGGCCCCCTGGACGGGGGGCTCAGGAGCAGAAGCTGGAAAGGCCAGCAGCTGTTTGGGGCACAGAATCCTGGTGATCACTGTGACTTCCTGTCCTAACTGGGAACGCCAGGCGCTCCAAGTTCAAAACTGTCAAGTGTGTTTTCTGACCAGAAAGAATGTCTAGCACATAGTAGGGATGCAAGACAGAAAATCTGTCCAGGGGCTGGGGCTGGGGCTCAGTGGCAGAGACACGGGGTCTGATTCTCAGCACTGCATACAAACAAATAAATAAATAAATAAAGGTCCATCAACAACTAGATACATAGATCTGTAAAAAGAACAAAGAAAATCCGTCCAAGCGTGGTGCCTCTCCCAGGCTGACAGTAAGCCCTGTTGCAGGGGCCAGCCAGCAGCGGGCGGGCCTCCCCGGCCATGGGGTGGGCAAGCAGACTGGCCCGAGGCCCATACTCCCGGGCTCCCCCTACAGGACAGAGACTGCCCCTCCGCACCCGGAGGACCACAACTGCACGTTTTAGCTGAATGTGTACAATAAGACTCCTCTCCCTTTTGTTGTTATGCTATGGGAACTTGTCTGAATGTGGCACCGCTGTTACACAGTAGGACTGAGTATAAAGGTTGATGTCCTCACCGTCTGGAACTTAAGGTGAAGCAATTAACTTCCAGAACATGGACAGAAACCACCGTCCATGAGACTGCACTCCCGGGAGCTGCCACCAGGGGCAGCATGTGCACATGCACAGTTGAACCAGCCTCAAACTCGGGCGCCACTTCTGAGCGCGCGGTGGGCTCTCTTGGGGTACCGACACTGGAATCCTGGGTGGGAGACTGAGAAAGAGTCTCTAAGACGGCCTTCAGAGGGCTTTGTGTGGTCCACACATGCCTGCATTACTTACACAAACACTCAAGCCTAAGCACCTGGGTGCTGGGGTACTGTGCTTGCCCAGCCTGGGAGAGGCCTGGGCTCTCTCCTGCCCTGGAAGATAAATGAGAGAGGAAGTGATGTCCTAAGGCCCAAGCCAGGTTGCCCAGCACCGGGGAGCACGAGCTGGTGACCCTGCAGCCCAGATCACCTAGATAACAGAGCACCCAGCGTCTGTTTAGGGGAGGAGCTGGGTGCTGCCACAGGGAAGGCACTGAGCCACCCGGAGGCCCCAGAACTCAGCTCTGGCCCCACTGCACACCGTCAAGCCCTCCACGTAAAGATGGGCGGCATGCCCGCTCTGTGTGGCCACTCGGGTCATCCCTTGGCTCAAGAGGACCCACAGGTCTGGTCACCAGTGGACGCCGGGCCTGGCTCACTAGAGCAGGTCCTGTTGCAGGCCCAGGCCACGGGCCTTGCACTTTCCGCAGGGTGGAGGTTTGGGAAAGCCTGGCACTGGCGCCGTTTGTGCACAGCCCCGGGCTCCTCCCGAGTCTCTGTGTCCCGTTTTGGTAGTTCCGGCGAGATTCCAATCTTTGTCATTATTGGTACCTGTGAGGGTGATCTGTGACCAGTGAGGGCTGCATGATCACCCGGGGCACTGTGAACAGTGTCCCTGTGAGATGGAGGTGGCTCCTGCACCCGCCCTCTCCTGGGCTCCCGGTCCCCTGAGACACAATATGGAAATGAGGTCGATGAGATAAAAGTCTCTGAATGCCCCAGTGGAAGGAAGAGCCTCACCTCTC